CCGATCACTAGAATTTTCCTTCTGATAAGAATTCAGAAAAATAAATTGTTCCATCATCACTTTCACGTGGAAATAATCGCCGAACATCGAAATCGTGTATTTCGCATGCAGAACCGAAACGGAAACGCTCGAAAATGATCAAAGGATAAATCTCTTTCTCTTCGCTTCGTTTTCGGGGGTCGTTTGTACCAGCGAGAATTCATTTTCCCCGAGCAGCGCGATTCACTGTAATCGCTTTACCGACGCGGAGAGCGGCGTGATATTAACGAAAAAGTAGTGCGAATCGCGGAACGATAATTAGCAGGGGACACTAATTACGAGACGATGCGGAGAGTTGCTGCTGCTCGTCGTTGCTTCCCGAGGCACGATTGATTTTATACCCGACTAAACCTCGGTCCCTCCGTTCCTCTTCCATCTCCGCCCTTTCCACCTCCGCTCAGTAACCCCCAGACCCCGTTCCTCATCCCCGAGTCTACTTTTTTCCACGGTGACTACGTTTAATCTTGCTTTCGTCGCGTAGGAACCCGTCGGAAGCGGAATTTATTGCCGGGACGAAATTCCCCGCGCCTTCAATAACGGCATATTAATTTTCGGGGACGCGGGAACCGGCGCGCTGCCGCGGACTCGTTTACCACTCGCCCGCCCGCCCGCCGCGTCGCGTATTTTCCCCGTATTTTCGTGACGATTCTCGTCTGAGTATTAGAACCGAGGCGTTCCCGAGGCGCGATAATTAAATCTACGCAGGCAATGAGCGGAGATAACGGTGGCGCGAATCGAAGCCTTTATTATTATTGCTGAGATGCGTCTGCTTTATTACACAGCGCTTCTGTACACAGCGATAAAACGAAGGAACTTGAAATGTTCAAGGTAGATAGCGCCCGTCAACTGCAGGGAACTACGTAACTTTGAGAAACCGACCGCGAATATTTATAATAATTCGTATTACTGGGAAAATAATTAATTATAAGGGAAATTTTAGTAGAAGTTTGCGAATGTGTAGGATGTTAGTAGAGAATATTAAATCTGTGTTCGACTCCATTTATCCATTATCCTATAAATGGATATACTCCATATATCCATTAGGATTTGTAGAAAATGTAATGAAACTCTAACAAATAGGCGAGTATTTAGATTAATTTATATTTCTGAAAAAATAACTGATTACGACGAAGGTTTGATAAAAGTTTGCGAACGATAAAAAATATTGTTGATTCATGAAGAATATTAAATGTATATCTCAATTTCATTAGAATGTCCACCCAATTTTAGACTTATCATCATTTATTTCTACTGGTCCACTTTCTCGGTCGCCTAATTTAAACCCTTTTTCATAGGAGTTTCTCGAAAATGTACCTTTAAATTCGTCAATCCACCTTTGCAACCCTACCTGATCAACGATACGTATGCAATTCGCACAAGACAAACATTTACGAATGTAAAGTTTAACCAACCACCATTTCAAAATGCAACGCCATCGAAACCAACGAATTCCTCCGATCGAAACCCATTCATACTCCACGGTAGACGCAATCAATCAGTTTTTCTTTTCGATTATAATTTAACGTCCACCGCGGATCGTGACGGGGCAGGAATAAATGTTCCCACGCGCGGGAAACGGCGATCCCGATTTTTGATCGGCGATCCGCGTGTGTTTACCGATAAGTTGAATATAATTACGACGCGACGCGTTGCAACGCGTCGTGTTTGCGCTGGGCTCAAAAGCTTTATTTGCCGAGCCAGATTTTCCAATTAAACCATGATTAATCCTGCGCGACGAATGCTTAGGGAGCCGAATGTTTACGGCACCGGGGAAATAAGTTGCCGGTATACAGCCTCGAAAATCGATATATCGGCGAAATGGGGTAGAAAAGAGAGAAAGAGAGAGAGGATAGAAAAGAGTGGATGGGGAAGAGATGGAGAGGAATCGACGATAATCCGATTTCGATGGACGGCACGAGTTGGATAATTCGTTTGCTTCGTGCCACTCAATGGCGGGCAGGTGGAGGGACGAATGAATACGTGTCTTTCTCCCTCTCTCTCCTTCTTCTCAGTATTCTTCTCTCCCTCTCTGTCCTTCCACTGTTGATGGAACTATTGAATTCCGTTTTCCTTGATTCGCGTGACTCGAATTGCGAAAAAATTGAAACCGTGGAGAAAAAGAGATTTACGAATAACAATGTCACCCTCTTGGAACACTTTTATGTTTCACGGAGGAAGAGGAGGAGGAAGAGGTAGAGGAAAAGACGATCGAGGCAAAGAATCCGGGCTCGATAAATCTGTAAATTTGTTCACCCATGAGTTATTCACGAGCTGTATCATCGCGATTTTTAGCCGTTAATTAAGTCCAAAATACGGATTAATTGGTATGCGATCCCTGTTCCGCGACCGCCGCGAAATTCCCGTCGAAATAATTCGCGGAACCACGCGGTCGCGATCCAGAGGAATCACGTGTTTGACGCGCAAACAGCAGGGATCGACATGGGGCGAAATGGATTTCGGAGGTTTTGCACGTGAAATTTCCATCCCGGCTCGTATATCTAGCTCTTGAACTCTTATTTGCCTTCCTTGCCGAAAACTCGTGCGCTTAATCATTCGCCCATTAATCAGTGAAATCCGCTTGTTTCTGAACAAAAAGAGGAACGTTAAGAAGACAATTATACGAGAAACGCGTATCCTTTGAAACGAGAATCGTACACGTTCGTTTTGCAATAAAGGATAGAAAAATTCGCACTCGTTTTCCTTTTCAATAAATTTATCTGTAACACGACGGAAAGAGAAATACAAATGCAGAATGGAACGGAAACTTTTCCTTTCGTAAAAGCACTTGACATCACGGAGCGATCGCGAGTCGGAAAGAAAATTCGTTCGTGGTCCCCTTGACACGGTTCGTCGATCGAATCTGTTCACTCGTTGAAGCGTATCGCCGTGTGTCGCGGCGGAACCACGAGCCGCGAATGGAAATCGCCGTTTCTGCGATAGGAAACACTCGTTCCAGACGGTGTTGCGACCTTAACGTAATTTGTCGTAATAGGCATGTTTATTTGATGTAACGTTGATGAGGCTGAGTCACCGGCGTTGTCGTTCCAGATCGCTCGCACCGCAGCCGACCTTGGGTGGGAAAGAGAGGAAAAAAAGAGGAGCGAATCGGCTAGCGCGACGGGAATCCAGCAGCGCAATTTCCAGGCCGCCGATCGAGGAATCGAGACGACGACATTCGATCGAGCGATTTAAACGGGGCCGCATTCCAGCGCGCGCGAACACGTACGCGCCGCGTCGGCGGTATCGACCGCGTGCATCGATAACAAGCGCGGCTGTTCCGCCATTTCTCTACGACACCCCCTGCACCACCGCGAAACCTCAATTCCGAATGCAGGCGCGATCGATAATTGCTCGTGTAAATACATCCCGATGTCGCGTTTTACGGTGGCTCCAACCTGCACGAAGGACGTCTACGAAACCGTTTCCACCGTTGACCCGCATATGTCCCGTTTCGAAGCAATTAACCCTTAAGTGGTATAGAGATATTTTAAATCAATGCTAAGAAATAAACAAAAACTGCACAGAATTTCGATGATTGAATGTTAGAATTAAAAGAACACTGTTTCAACGTTATAAGTCATGTATGAAAGAGAATCCAGGTAAATAAAAATGTTGAGTTGTTTGATAAACTGACTGTAGTAGTTTAAGATTAAAGGAGACGGTATAATTTGCTTTGGATGACCTCAGTTTTTCGGCTTGATGTTTAAGGAAAGATATAACGATGATAATTACGAAAGTGTTGATGTGTCTGAGTACACTTGGTTTGTTTATGAATAAGTTTGCAAACATTGTTCGCAAATTTACGATGGAGACAATGATTACTGTGACTTGTATGGTTTCGAGCGTCCTTGTGCGGTGACTAAGTGACTAAAGTGTCATTCGGTTTCTAGATCCTTCATTTGTAATTGAAATTACGCGTTCAATTCCAGTTTTTAAGTAATTCTAGTTTTTACATTTGTACATTTCGATTGTCCCCGGAAGTCTGATAAATACTGAATTTGAAATATCTTTATAGAATTATTCCGATGACGTGCACATTGTCGAGAATTTTCTGTGCCTTATGAATTTTTATTCGGAGCGGTGACTCGCATCTTGTTATTCAGACACATTAAATCACTCGTGGAAAGTTTATCAAAACATGTGACGGCAAAACGACCAATCGAGGGTGATTACCGCACAACGCAAGGGTAAATTGCTAACTAATGATTCAAAAACACGAAGAACCTTATATTTCAATATTACTCTAGAAGTCTCCCACATTTTTAATCTCCTCTTGGAAAATTATTACTAACTTTTAACCGCACTTCCGGAGTACGTTCCCCAACACGTCAAACCAACCCCAAAGCTATTCCCACGGTATTCAAATAATTCAAAAGCAAAATTACTCAGAGTTTATCGAATCACCTAAACAAACTTCTCTTCACTTATAATCCCCAAGTTGGAACCGAAACTCGGGCACACAAAACGTGTCCATCGTTAACCAAATACCCCAACCACATTACAGAACCCAGTTGCGTGGAACTATCTCGAATCGATAACACAATATACCACAAAGCTACGTTGAAACTTCTTAATAAGAAATACCACCATTACCCTATAAACCACAGTACCTAGATTATCCAGCATTTTACGCGTGGTGCATAAAACACCCTCCTTACACTATCGCCTAGCGAAAAGGGAACGCTTGCGTTTCACCGATAATACGTTAACAAGAAATATAATCGATTAAACTTTACAGCGAAGCTTAAAACGAGAGATTCCATCTGGAATCCTAGAAAACGTGAAGGGGTAGATATCGCAGCGAAATGTTAGCGATCGCGTGACGCGTCAGAGGATCGGTACGACGCGGCGCGAGTTATAAATTACCGCAGCTGGTATCGTAACTCGACGTTCGATCGCTCGAAAACGCTCGAGACCGTTCCGAGCGCGCGTACGTAGCACAGCAGCGATCGGATACTCACGTGTGTGGTGTGTCTCGGTCGCGAGCACTATTCTCGTCGCAGAATCGCACGGAATCACGAAAGCGCGTCGCTGACGTCAGCCGGCGGATCACTGGGTTCCGTAACAACCCCGGAATATCCTTGTATCCAACACTCGTTCCCCTGGATCTCCACCCGACGAGATTCTCTGCCACTCGATTCTCCTCCTCGGAGAGCACTACCGTACGGCTATCATTCGCTGGTGTCTCACTTCAGCAACGAAAAAAACGATCGACCGTGTTGCGTAGAAAAATTGTTCATATACATCTAAAAGTATAAAAGTAAAAAAAAAATCGAAAACAACGAACAACGATCTTTGAGAGGGTGGCTAGCTAGCGAACGTTCGAGGGGTGGCTTGAAGGTGAAACTCGCGTTCTCCGTTTCTCTCGTCCGTTGGTACTGTCGGGGCGCAACGACGTTCGCGGTCTGGTCGGTTCTCGAAACGCAGCAAGATAGCACACTGCCAGGAAAAGAACTCGTCCTTTTGCGCGCGCGCGCGTTTCGCGAGAGAGGCTCACTCTCCGCGGGTAACACACACAAGAGAAGGCACACCACCACTCTCACACTTCGGCTCGCTTGTAACCGTGTGGACACGACTGTACGGTGTCGTCGTTGGTCGGCGGTGTATTTGTACGGAAACGATACGTCGGTCTTCTAATATACGTGGACGTATGATACCGCACGACGCGTGTCCCCGTGACGTCCTTCGCTTGAGTGAACGTCTTTTCTTCCTTTTCTTTTTTTTTCGTATTTCCCACTGTAACGTAACTGTTACGCGAACGATCCGCCACGAACAGTCACCCGCGAGTGCCGCTGCCTGACTGGAACGCGGGGAAACATGTGCGGCCTCTTACATACCTCTGCAGGCGCAGAGGGAACGTAGGCTGGTGGGGGTGCGCCAGCGACGAGTGGTGGCCGGTGGTAGGGGAACGTTTCCCACTCCGCTACTGTACCGGCGACCCGTGTGGGGGTAACTGGCAAGGACGCGAGACCTCGACGTGTCGCGAGTACTCGACGTACTACTTTTTTCCTGGTCCCCGCCTGCGCCTGTCCTCACTCGCGCTCCGCTTTGCTTTTCACGGTGATAAGGGAAGCGGCGGCGCGACGCTGCTACGCGCGCCCGGTGAGAGTTTATTCGACCGGGATACAGTGGTGCGGAAGGTCTATGATGTCTTAGCCCTTTACGGTTCGAGAAGTTCTTAGTTTTTCGCTTTGGGGCTTGTGTCAAGTGCCGTTTAGTATGTTTAATGTGATGTAATTATGGTATTACGAATGATTGTAACGATAACGAATTAACTACTTGGCTGTTTGAAGAAATTGAATGTTGAGTTTAGTTTGATGTAGGATTCTGGGGAGTTAGGGTGTGTTTATACTATTTGATTAGAAACGTGATGTTCTAGTTTAGATAAAAGTAATGTTTGTATCATTAATCAGGGAGCGTTTTGATTTAGATGTTGGAGGGTTGGAAAAGATTGGTTGCAATGATTTATGATTGTCGTCTTGTTCGGGTACGTTTCGACATTTGACAGCTGCTGTTTAGATGTATAGAAATACTTCTACTTTACTACCTACAAGTATAAATGCATTCTTAGGCTTGAATATTGTTTTATGGAGTAGGGTTGTTTTGTTTTATTGTTGGGAGTAACTCTGAATATTGTTTTAAGGGGTGGGGTAGTTATTCATATCGGGGGTGATGCGTTTAGTAATTTATTCTACGAATGATCTGGATAATGATGAACGTAAATGATGACGATGGAAAGTTAAGTACTATGTTTAGAAATTTATTTTAGTATACGCTTGAAGGACTTCATTGACGATGAACGAACCTAAATGATAGTAGAAAATTGATTTTACTCCCTAGTGGAAGAGACTTGTAGCCTTACCCTCCTTGATACGTTACTCTTTTTATTTTTAATCTAGGGAAGAGGGTAGTTATTCGTTTGGGAAATTTATCGATTAAACGAACCTCGTTGATAATAAATATGTATGGCAGAGATTTTATGTCCGTCATCATTGACACATTATTATTTTCATTATTGCATCATGAAATAGACAGTTATACGCGTACGAGTTCTATGCTGAGGTATTTATTCCACTATCGACACGAATGAACTATGACGATAATAAAGATAAAAGACAGCAATAGGAAATTGACCTTTTCTCTGTCGCAAGGGTGACTCGTATTTTTACCCCCACCGACGCATTATTATTTTGAGTGTTCCTTTATGAAAGGGTGTAGTTACGAGTTTAGGGGTCACTATATTTAGTAATTGATCTCACTGTCAACTCGATGAACTTCATTGATAATAAATATAAGAGACATAAATAGAACATATCAACTCTTCCTGTCTGCTGAAGGTGATCTCGACGGCTATTAAGATGTCATAAACAGTAGCCTGATACCAAGAGGATATCATATGTGCAATATTAATTCTCTTGGCAATTAGTTACGTGAATTACTATAAATACGAAGTCTCTTCTAAAAAACATATTTTATGACGAACAAAAGTATTGATTTATTAAGAATATGAAAAAAAGAACCACATTAATCAACATTAATCAACTATATTAATATGTTTTGTATTTCATTTTTTGTGTTTCATTCTTACTTATTTTTACTGGACACCATATATCCTGCGAACTTTAGCATCCACACTTCGTAACACCGAAGTAGCTGAATCCGATCACTGATCAGAGAACGGGCGCGAAAAGAACAATGTCGGGTTACCGTTTAATTGCGCCTGGATCAATTAAACTCGACCTTGATTTAGGCGAACGGGAGCTCGAACGTACAGGAAGCCCGTTATCTAAAGACGATCGCGACAAATCGCGAGGCAGATACCTATCGCAATTTCCGCGATGAGGTAACAACGACGAAACGCAACGCGCGATTGTAAAGCGTCGGCCGTGTCCCACACGGGTAATCAGTCTTGTTTTTCTCCCTCTTTGTAACGCAACGACTGAGCTGTGGTTTCGAGAACATCACAACGGAGAATCTTCGGTCTCGAACGCCATCGATACGCTTCGAACCGGCGGCCATATTGGAAAGAATCGTTCGAAATCACAACAACGTTCCGGAGAGTCGCGGGTTACGTAAGAAGCTGCAGAACGTATCAATTAAAGAAAATTACATAAAGTATCGCAGCAAAGAATAGAAAAGAGAGGGCTATGGTGAATGAATAACACTTTAATGATACTTCATTCGTGAGTTTAAAAATATTCGGTTCGAATACCATGAACCTGCTCTGTTTGCTAACTTACTTAGACTAAGAATGAAAACTGGGTCAGACGAACCATATTTGATCGGGCAATTAATACAAGCCGTGGCACGCACGTCTTGGTCTATCCTTTAATTAACAACTCTTGTAAGTCTGGCAAGAGAACTGATTTCCAACGATAAATTCTCTGGCTGTTTAACTTTGGTACCGACCATTGTTGGTATAGTCTCGAAGACTTCGTCTATTTTTACTTTCGCTTGAACTTTCCAATCGAATTTTTCAATTCATATTTCAATTCTTACTCTCATCTAAACTTTATAAGCAAGCTGTCAGATTTAATTTAACTATGGAAATTGAGATTTTTCTAGAAACTCCGTAGTCAACAACGACGTTGATCACCCGTCGCGAAGGAAAGCACGATCCTCTTGTCCACGGATATAGCCAAACCCTCGCCGGAGCCTGTTTTCCTCTTCGAAGTATTTATATCGAACGCGGCGCACGCGTCTTTTAAGATCCTCCGTATTTGCCTTTCGCGGTATCGAATAAAATGTGTGACGAGAAGAGGGGCGATGGTTGTGACACGCACGAGCGGATGGTTTAGGGTTCAGACATGCGGAAAGTTCACCAAGAAAGGAACACCAGCGCGCGTGCACTTCGAACTTCGTTGTTGTTTCCTTTAGTTGTTTACCTTTTAATACGTTAGCCGACGAATATTAGCTTTTAACAAAATACTAAATACTCAAAACAATGTTCCTAACACAAACAGACACTGTATAGTAAAGATTTTTCATAAATTTAACAAGACATGTCATATATTTCATAGATTCAAATTCGATTTTATAGACTTCTATTCAGTTAAAAATTAATTTTCAATCCTTTGCACTCTAGAGGTGACTGTCTGATATAGCAAAATTATAAAGTTCGTTATTTAATATCAAGTTTTATACAATGGATGAATATAACAAACATTCACAGAAAATAGCATTGTTTCTTAATTTGTGTAATTCCTCGATAAGTTTTAGAAACTGTTGTGCATATTTCATCAGAAAGTATTGAATATCTTTGGTGAAAAACTTTCGAATGCAAACGGTTAAAACTATACAAAAGGTCATCGAATTTTACTGACATGCTAGTCTAAATGGGTAAATAAAATAAAAATAAATGGCGCTCGTTTCGCGTTATCCGCGGCTTCCTTTATCTTGTCACCCCCACATTCTGAAAATCTTGTCTGATTCTCTCTCGCCCCCAATCCACCCTCCGCGCTCCATTGAATTCGATTCAGTTTCTTTTCCCGGTATTATCGATCGGCCGTTTGTTCTTCCCTCTTATCGTTCCCGCCCCCTTCTTATCAATTTTTCTTACAATCCCGACTGCTCCTTTCGCTTCTGCCCGCAATCCCTTTTCCGCCCTCGTTTACACACTCTGCCCCTCAGATCTCATCTCCCCACCCAGCGTTGTTGACTTTCCTTTTAGTAGTATTTGCCGAATCCTATCTGTTGTTTGCCACCCCTTCCGCCCCCATGCTGGTTTTCGATACAACTTGATTTTCACTTGCAATCCCAGAATCGGCCACTCGTTTTCATTTCTTTTAATATCATGTTCCCGCAATCGTCTTTCAATAAAGTTCGCGTTTATCTATCAGGGAGCAATTCGTGAGTTCTTGTTTCCTCTTCTAGAGAGGGAAATTATTTTTTTATTTATTCTTCTGCCCATCCCCCGCCTCGTATTCGTTTTTACTTGCGAGTGTTCGGTTGTTTGCGTTTCTTTGTAATCGTTCCTTCTTTGTGCGTTCTTACTTTCGTTCTTGTATTTACCAACACTTTGTGCCTGGACTTGTCAATATGAGAGGACTAAGTTGATCTTAGAGAAAGTATGTTTTAAAAAAATTAGTTGTTTTCTTTCTCGGAAAGGAAGAATAATTTTTTAGATGAAGTGTCCTGTTTGTCGCGCGAAGGTTTTAAAGAAAACGTTTTTATTCGAAGGGTGTTATAAATACGTTTTGGATTTATGTTCAAATATCTTTGCTTTGACTCTGTATCCACTAAGTGCGGATTTACTTTGCCAAATATTATGGTTTCTCGTTATTATGATACCATTCCTTTGTGCAACTTACATTCATTGCCAAGAAATATTTTGAGTAGCCATTCGAAAAACAAGATTAAAATGTTTCATTTCGCACTTAAAACTATTCAAACCGATATATTTCACTTCTACAAACGTGGCTTTCAGCTCATTTAATTACAACCATTTACTCATCAACTTCTCCTCGCTCCATTTCATTTTTATTCTGCTTATAACCACTCGTCATATCTACGTTTCTTAATGATCATTCATCTTTCCTTCAAACTTCCAATTACCATTACTTCCACCACAGTATTTCAAAGATTATGAATCTGTGCAAACTACACAGACCTCCATAGAACCTACTTCTACAAAAACGTCTTATTTAATCTTCTTTAAAGAGCTGCAACCATTCCCCTCCACATCTTCACCAACCTCAATTAAAATAAAATTTCAAAGTATCTACACCACATGAATTAAGTATCTATAACATCAACATTCCATCACAGCTAAATACACAACAGTGATAACAATCATCACCACAAACTCTCATTACTATTTCAATATTACCATTCAACATCTTCCACCATCT